ATTTAACCAATACTTAGACATGAGTTCCTGACTCATATAATATGGATGTAAATATTTAAATGGAATTGTTCGTCCTTATTCTCTGTTTTATATGATTTACATTATTGAAAAACAGTGAAAAATGTCACCGCTGAAGCTTACTGAAACCAGTCCTGATTATTAAGATATTTTCTCCAATCCTGATGAAAGCTAGTGTATAAAATGTAAATAATTGACAGTAGGTAATGGGGTCCAAAACCCAGTTGACTGGTTTTAATATCTGATTTTTTTTTCTTCGAAAAGCCTTCAGGAGTTTAAATTGAAACTGAATTTGGTGACAGTTTTAGATCTGTCTTTCTTTTGTTTACAATATAGAAAATGTGTTTTACTTTGATTAAAATGAAGATTGGTTCTTTTGACACTCATTAAGGACATATTAAGGTCTCTTGAATGCTCAAAAGGTTTTTGTCCTATAATGGAGATTCTGTGGTGACCAGAGGACCTACAGTATTATCTAGAATTGCAACAGTGACGAGAGATTTCAAGTCACTTCTGGAACTGTGCCTGATAAACAATCCTGCATGACAGGGAGGAATGCAAAGAATGCTTAAGTATTCGGGGAAGTAGGTCATGGTTTAAAGTACATTTGTCAGAGAAAGTTTCTCAAGCAGTTGCTGTGATCTTGATCCCTGCTTATTCCTTACCCAGGATGCTTTAGTCTTAAGCACATTAGGTAACTGAATGAACTTCTCAGCCTCTAGGAGAGCTGGACTAAAAGTAACAGATTCACCACACGTGATCCTGCACTCCCCACACCAGAAATAAAAGTTAGGGCTGTAGATTTAGTGGCTAGTAAATCTGTAGATGCGATCGATAAGTGTTCTCTCTTCATTGCATGATCTCGGAATAAAAATTATTTAGAGAGTAAACAGATGGGTGATATCTAAATATGAAAGAACAGGAAGATTAGTTCCTTTTAAAATGAAGTTCAGGGAACCCACTGAGTCCCCTGTAACCACGTGTGACTTTAGTGCCCGCAGTCACTGTGGACTTAACGAGCTTGTGGAAACCGTATTTTGCCATGAGTTGTAGCTAAGGGCTCGAAAAGAGACACAAACATAACAGGTCCCGAAGGCAAGAGAGAGCACATACTAGTGTACCACGAAAGGTGGTGTAGAGGATGCTACAAGCAGAATGTGTTCCGCCCTGCCCCCCAAATTCATGTTGAACTCTAATCCCTGATGTGATGGTGTTAGGAGCTGGGGCCTTTAGGAGGTGCTGAGGTTGCGAGGGTGGAGCCTCATGGGATTAGTGCCTTGTAAGAAGAGACACAAAAGAGCTTTTCTTGTAATCAAGGAGCCCTTCTGCAAACCGGGAAGAAAGCTCTCACCAGGAGCTAAATCTGCCTGGACCTGCATCTTGGACTGCCAACTTTCGTGACTGTGAGAAAGAAGTATGGTCTGAGTCACCCAGTGTATGATAGTTTGTCATAGTAGCCTGAGCTAAGACAGAGGAAGCGGAATCGATGCTGAATTTTTGAAGAATGAGATGCTCGAGAAGAGGCAAGAAAATAATACAATACAATACACTACACTACAATAAATACAATACAATACAATAAATACAGTACAATAAAAAGTGAGCCGAGGGAGCCTCATTATATTGGGAGAGATACTGAGGGAAAAATAGTCTAGGAAAAGTTGGGTTAAGGATTCTTTTTTTAACGGCAAGACTTTTCAGAACCTTTAAAATGTTAATATTGTTAATTATGCCTCTCCCAAAGGGGACATATAGTATGCATTTTACCCAAATACTATTAAGAAATGCCAGGCTAGAGAGGAGAGCGCAATTAGAGTAGCGATGGAGAAGTTTGGAAAGGTTGGTGGCTTTGCTGTGGAGAGTTTTGATTTTTAGGGTGCGACTTCTGCATGTATTGTAATCACCAGTACGAAGCCAGTTGTTAATTGGATTCCACATCTACATCTGTCGGGATGTAGGTGGGGACTTCAAACTTCAATTTATATTTCTGATCCAAGACTGAGAAAATAATTCTGAGATATTAAGGGTATTTGCTCTCTTTTTTGGCAGGGAGCAAAGATTATTACTGGATTTTTATTTCATTCATATAAAAATGATTGTGTTTTTTATATACCTAATTTTTAAATTAATCACACGTAGAAAGATTCTTACTCTCTGGTTAAAATGGAAAAAATAAGAACTATGTCTTAGCTTTTAAATGTGTGTGATTTGGGAAATGCCTCACAGTATCCTCAGATGAAACATTTCATATTTCGATATCCTTATTAAATTATGTCTAGACCTGATGGTACATTTGGAGGGAGGTGAGAGGAAGAAGTAGAGTATTGAGGCAACAATAAGGATCATTAAAATTTTAGGGATAGAGGACACTTTGGATTGATTTCATTGTTCAAATAATTCAGATAATTACATCAGATTTAGTTTTCATTTTCAGTCTGCAGTAAGTCTAATAACTGTTTATAGACTCAATTTCCATGGCACTTAATTAAGCACTTTTAGGGCTGAACATCCCAGTGCAAGCCGCATTATGCCTTCAGACTCTCCCGTAACCATATTTTCTGGGGCCAAAGACAATTAGACTACTGTGGAGTGAAATGCTGTAAATTATTGTGTTCCTTAAACCCTTTCCAACTCCTGCAGTGAATACTGGAGGTATTGTAACCGTATGTGAACTTGAACTAAGATCAGGGGAAGGTCGAAACAGAGCCTTCTTGAATGGAGTTGCAAATTCTTCCTCTGGCAAATAAGAGTAAAGGGAAATGTCACCCATTTGTTGCTTTTTATGGTCATGAAGGAAAAATCCCCAAAGCTTATGATTCCTTTGCTATGAGCTGACCAGCTGGCTTCTTTCGGCCTCAGATAAGAAGTTGGGAAAGACACTGATGTATTTTTTTCCTTGAGCCTGATCAAAGCAAATCAGAGCAAATAACTGTATTCTGGGATTGTAAAACTAAGCTAGATTTTTAAGAAAGTTGCTCCTTTGTAAAACCTAAAAATCAAGGTAGGGCTATTCTTTTAAGATTGCTTGAGGCCATTTAAGCAAAAGCAACTCAATCTAGGCATAAAGTACTGATTCCTCCTTCATAATAAATATTTACTAAAACTTAATTAATTAATTAATTTTTTAAGCCTACGGCGCCCGGTATTCCCAGGTGGTCTCCCATCCAAGTACTAACCAGGCCCGACCCTGCTTAGCTTCTGAGATCAGACGAGATCGGGCGCGTTCAGGGTGGTATGGCTGTAGGCTAAAACTTTATTTTTAAAATGAGCATATATGTATTTTATATATATATATCTGCTTACACAGACACAATATCCCCTTATTGGCCCTTTCTTCAATGTAACTTCTTATGTTTATTCTCACAAAACATTAACTTGACATGAGTGAGAGATGGGATGGATGTGTCAGTTTTGTGTGCTGTGCCTATGTTTAAGGGCTCCTAACACAGTTGTCTTACTCTGTTAATTATAAGGTTGAAACCTGTGGAGAATGAACTAACTGCGTAAACCTTAATCGTCAGGCGCGTATACAAATGTACAAAATAGAGTTCCTTCCCTCAGTGACTTTCAACTCACCAAAAATGTGTTGGATTCAGGAACCTGTTGGGTACCAGGTGGTTTTTGGCAGCTTGTTCTTGCTTTTTCCCTTTTCTAAACAGCTGTTCACTTCCGTGAGGTAAGCGGTGTCATCCCCATTTTAAAAAGGAGACAACAAAATGAACATTTAACCCAGAAGTGCAGCTTTTGTTTCGCCAGCTCTCGAGTTCGATGCTAGAGGTCTTCCTTGATATGCTCAGCTCCCAGGTACGAGAGCACTGCCGTGCGAACAGACTGGGGCTATGATGAGATGTCTTTGGTGTTAACACCTGGGGTATTAGCTCCTAAGATCCCAATGCACTCTGCCTTTCTAGGTATTTCAGGATGTATTACTATCTCTGCTGTCAAGTAAATAGCAAACGATTCGTCTTTATTGGCCAGCCAGTTGTTTCAGATCGTGCCCTCACTCTTCCCACGCCATCCAGGCCTGGAGATAGCTGATGCTGGGCTGTAAGAGCTCTTTGGGTTTGGAGGCAGGTCATAGACCTAAATAAAAGTCAGCACCACTCATTCTTCTCCTTTGTTTGAGTGTAACTGAATGCCAGGCGCAGGCAGTGACCATCAACTCTCTCTGGTGTCCTCACCATCTTGCAAATGGTGCCAATATCCAGGCCATTAGGAAGTGCTACTGATTCTGGTTCTGCTTCTTCACATCTTTTCCGCGTTCCCAAATTTTAATGATCTTATGCAATATACCACAACATTGGTCTTCAAATGCCACTTTTCTCTGCATGGGATTGCTTTATAGGTATAGACAATTAGGAAGCGGAAGTACCTGACACTTTGGTACTTCCGCTTTCTAATTGTCTACCTCTATAAAGCAATGCTATGCAGGGTTGGGGAACAAGACAAAAACCATTGGTGTGTTAGATGTTTTCTTTTGATCTTCTATATATTTTTCCTACATTCAGTCAGTGAACATGGTAGTAAAGTGAAGCTCTTACTTTTAAATACTTTCTTTCGTAGTATAGTAGCGTGGCCTCGGAGAAATGTCTGCGTAACTGAAGTCAATTTTCCACCACCTTGGACATCCTTAGTTGTAGACTATGGCACCTTGATCATATTTGTGTAAAAGCATAATTGTATTTTGGGCTATAAGTTTATTCCATTATTGAATTGTTTTTATTGTGAGAATTCTGTCTGAAGCAGAAATATGGTCAAAGATTTGATCTATTAGCATTTTCATTTTCAACAAGCAGTTATCTGGTATGAATTAACTAAAGTTTAGAAAATCTTCTGTTTGCCTTCTCTTCCCTCCAAAAAGAAAAAACTCTCTAAAGCTGTTTATAATTTTTTTTTTTGATTTTTAGGCGATGCAACCTTTTGTTGACTTCACCGATTGCAAGGACCTTGTCAGCTTACAATCCCTAATTTTTTATTTTTTATGCCTACAGCACCTGGTCTTCCTAGGTGGTCTCCCATCCAAGTACTAACCAGGCCTGACCCTGCTTAGCTTCACGAGATCAGACGGGATCGGATTTGTTCAGGGTAGCATGGCCGTAGGCTACAGCTGTTGTTCATAATTTTTATCAGCAGGCTTTAGTACAGGGCTGTTTCACAGGTGAGTACTGTTTGATAGGACGTTCTCGGCCCCTCCCACGGTTCTTTTCTTAAAGCTAGAGACAGACATTCCATAACTTCACATCTAAGGTTTTCACAAGTTTTCTGGATCTTCATTTCTTTATACTTCAGAGTTGAAGCCCATTTCCTTAGCCTGTATATAAAAGATAGTTTATTAGCTGAAGTTTTCAGCCTTTAGATTTCTATCTTACATGCGACTTTTCCAGAGTCCTTTCTTCTCTCAAATTTAATTTATTTATTTGTTTGTTTGTTAGTTTATTTGACTCACATGGTGATTCTCTGAAAGTCTAGGTAACTTCAGAGCAGGAGAATTACCACTTCCTTCTCTAACTAGTAGCTTTGGGCTTTCTCTAATTCAGACTTCTTTTAGCTATACCCGTGCAAAACTGGCCCATGAGGCATCATTTAACAAATATTAAACTCCTTCTGTTGGTATTTCTTCATTTTACTCACAAACTCTCCCAAGATATCTTGTCCACTGTTGAATCCTGAAACTTTCCATCTCTCTTCTATTTCATTGTCTTCTGCCCTTTCAAGCTGTCTGCCCACCTCAAATCTATACCTTCTGTTCTCTGTCCCCGGCTTGGGGCAGGCAGAGAGGAGACAGTTCTCTGAGAAAAGCTAGCGGTATACAGAAGGGATTAAATGAAGGAGAGGAAGAGAACAAATGGAGACCGTCAGCTTGGAGGATGGCCCAACGGTCTTAAGTGCCAAGTTGAAAGCCGGAGCAGGGTGTGGCCCTGAACAGAGGCAGGAATGAACCGCGGACACTTGAGGACAGGAGACAAAAGCCTGTTAGCGCTAAAATGTTGTACGTTTAAAGCAGTTTACTAGTTTTGCTTGCTAACATTTTAAAAGAATAAGATGTATATTTAATTTAAAATCCTAGGTGGTTCTTTTGTCAGTAAATTCTACATGAAGATAGTATAATACAGAAATGCATGTAAAGATACATTTTTATGTAATATAAACATGTATGTGGTATTTCTGGTTAAAATGTGAATTTAGCTACAGAAATCTCATTCAAGTGATGTAGACTGAACTGAAATCTATAGGACGATAGAATTTGTCTAAAAGTTTGTGTTTTAGGGACAAAGTTAAATTTATACATGTAAGTTAAAGTCTTTTTTTTTTGCAAGTTTTACTGATATAATATGCAGTTAATCAAAACCATTCTTAACTGAAAAATGTTATTGAACAACTGGAGGCAGGTGATATTTGCTAACTGGTCTGACCTAGGTTCTTGTGGCTGCTTAAAGCTTTTCTATTATAGAAATCCCATTGGCCCCTTCTAAAAAATTTTTAAAAATCAAAGTCTAGGAAGGAAACTCCTATTGCTATCTGAACTTTAAATAGTCACAGTAGGGATTTCATGACCCATTAAATCCATTAGCTAAACTAACTTCAATCCAGTAGACTTAAAATATAACAGAAGAAAATGAACTTGAATATTTAATACATTAACCTTCTGGGAGAAGGGTCACTCAGTTCAAGATTTAAGAATAATAATGCTTGTTAAAAATCTAACGTACATAGGTATTTAAAAGCCATTCTTTCTCATTACCTATCCATCCCCCATCAGTGTCCTTCGTCAGAAGGAACATTATCATCACCATCATCATCATCATCCTCATCATCATTATCATCATCATCATCATCGTTCTTCCTGGCCCAGAATGGATTGCTCAACAGAAAAAAAAAAATGGGCGATCCCTCGGAGTCAGCTTGGGTTCATTTTCTTTATTATTCTTTTCGTTCTTGTTCTTTCTCCCTTTCTTGGTCTCTTTTGTTGTTCCGGTTCTTAGACCAATGGTGATTCTGGATTTCACCAAAGAGATTTGACAAAATTGAGTAGATCAGCAACTCTCTTGAAATATGGTCTGGCTGAACATGCAGTTGAATAAACATAATTGATCATCCTAGTAAAGAGTTGCCTGCTGTAAAACTCTCCTTGGCCTGACCGAGTTAATATTTTATCAGCTTGCCTAAGAGATGAAAGCAAACATCTCAAATTGACATATGATAAAAAGCTTAGAATAGAAGGTGAAGGCTGGAGTATGTCTTTCCCAAACTTAGGTATGGTGATAATGTTTTGGAATAAAGAGGGCACTAGTACAGACAGACTTGAGGCACACAGCACATGACAAGAGGAGGTCCCTGAGTCTGTGGACAGGGATGGAGGGGTGTGTCTCATATGATAGAACAAAGACATCCTGACGAAATGCAGCAGTTCCTGCACTTAAAAAAAAAAAAATCAAATTATAAAGCAACTTGGCAATGCATTGAGCCTTAGAAGTTTTCACATCTTTTGTTCTAGTGATCCTAGTTCTGGAAATTCAACAAACAAATAATACAAGGGAAAGAAAACTATATTCCATAAAATGTTTATTGTAAGTGTTTACCACTGTCTTGAGATGTTGAAAGATCCGTTAGTAAAGTATATGTGGTATATACACCTGATCATTGTCCTTAGAGCACATGTGCGAAGAATTTGTGATAACTTGGGGAAACGTTTATGCTTTTAAAATAGGGGAAATATGTGGACCTGCACTCCACAACAACAGTTACATTAAAAAATGTATGGACGTGGCTAAAAGTTGAAAGGAGTACTTGAAAATGAAGAGGTGTTAAAATGACAGTGTTTTAGATCATTCTAACTTTTAAAAACTTCTTTTAATATTTCCTCTTTTTAAGATTATTGAAAAACCAGCAGATTGGTCAACATGGGAGGGAATTAAGGATATTTAAAGAGGATGTAGCTTGTAAACAGGATGGAAGTTTTAATTTATTTTTATTCATTGTCATGTAAATGAGAGAGGGTGGCTAATACAGGGCATTTCGAGTATACTCTTAGGCTGCATGAATAGAAATGCTGTACTGTGGTTTGCCCTGGCCAGCATTCATTTGGAGTGTTGTACTTGGTCCTCAGAGTCACATTTTTAAAATAAAATTATTTCTTATTATTTATGCCTACAGCACCTGGTCTTCCTAGGTGGTCTCCCATCCAAGTACTAACCAGGCCCAACCCTCTTTAGCTTCTGAGATCAGACAGGATCGGGCTTGTTCAGGGTGGCATGGCTGTAGACCATGGACTGTGGCTCCACTGGGGCGTGAACCCAGGACCTTCTGCATGTAAAGCAGACGTGCTAATCGCTACACTATGGAACCACGTCCCAGAGTCACATTTTAACACGAGATATTGCCACATTAAAGTCAGAAGTGTAGATTTTGGTCCTTAAAAGACTCATGAACATTATCAAGTCCTCGAGAGGCGGTTGTCAGCGGAGTCCACAAAATGCCAAACCCTGGCAGACAGAGACTGGGGTTTAGAGTAGAGGTGGTTTAAAAAAGGTGGCCCTTCAGAGTGCCAGCCCTGTTTCCTGCAACAAGTTTTGCAAAGTGAGTTACAGGTTTATAGAACAAAGGACAAGACGTTGTGTCTAGCCATTGTACCATGTTTGATCTCTGTCGTCAGGGCCTATTACATTTCTAGAATGCAGCCATAAAAAAGACACTGTAGCTGTTCTCGCCGCAAGTTGAGAAGGTATCATTGTTAATTAGTGAGGTTTTTTGTAGGCAAAAATCACAGGGATCATGGCAGGAACTCGGTGTGAAAGGTTCCGTGGCAGGTGTAGGATGGGATTTCTTTTTAGTGGCCGCTGAGGTGGTTCACAGTCAAGGTCTCCAGGCTGCTAGCGTTTCATTGCCAGTAGGGAGACGTCTGTTCTTCAGGCTCGCGGACACTTTCTCTTGGGCGTTGCTGATGGGAGGGCTGAGCGGTCATCCTTTAACCTTCTTCAGCTGCCCTGATTCCCACACACGCTCATTGGGCATCACCTTCCTGTCTGACGGATGCCCCCCCCCCTCTCCCCCTTTATCTTTTCCTTTCCTGCTAAGCTACATCGAGGAACCTTCTTATGGGACCAAGCAAATCACTGTTATCGAAACAATGGGACATATTCTCAAGTATGTGTATTTGAAACAAAAATAAAACTGGCAGCTGTATATATCTAAATTTAGTGAGAATCTGTCAGTATTGACCTTTTTGCTTACAAGGGGGAAGGTATGACATCTAACCAAGTACCTGTAGTATATGGAAACTTCCAATTCTGTGCAGCCTTAGGAACAGACGTGTGTTTATAACTCGAAGGATATTTGATTAACTTTCAAACTCTTGTTTTAATATTATGGAAAGAAAATAAAAATTAGGGGCACATCAAAGTTTGATATAATATGAATTTTATGCTAATACTTGAAGGATGCTGTACTTAAGAGTCTTTCATACTGGGCATGGGACGCATTTCGTGTCTAATGCTTAAAACTTATGGTCAAGATGAGAGATGCTCAATTTGAGGTGAAACCTTTTTCATAAAAGTTTTCTGTAGACATTTGAATATAGACACTGCAAACGGCTCTCCTTAGATTGAGCTGTCTTTTTTGAAGACAGGTATAGCCTTATGAGTAACTGCCCATTTCGGGATGTAGGATAACCCCAAAATGTCACCCAAGTTTTAAGATTTCCCCCCTCAAGTTTTAGATGTCCTTCCTAAAATTTATTTAGTGCAGAATTTCTCTCAATAGCACTTGTATGTATGTATGTATGTGTGTGTGTGTATGTATGTGTATGTATGTATGTGTATGTATGTATATATGTATGTGTGTATGTGTGTATGTATGTGTATGTATGTAGGTAGGTGTGTGTGTGTGTGTGTATGTATGTATGTATGTATGTATGTGTGTGTGTATGTAGGTAGGTATGTGCATATGTATGTATATATATATGTATGTGTGTGTATGTATGTATGCATGTATTGGTGCTGTGACTTGGCTTCTCAATAGCACTTTAGACTTGTCATGCTGGTCAGTCTTCGCCTCCAAAGTTAGTGGAAAAGGAGCTTATTTCTATCATAAAAACTTTCTAAGA